GCTTGCTTTGTTTGATGGTGGGAGATGCGGTGATCCTTCATGCTTCATGCATTCAGGGTTGCAGTTTCCTGACTGGCCTCCCCTCGTCTGCCTTTCCTCTCCAAATGGTCTTATACATTGTTAATAGACTCATCTTTCTTGTGCTTCATTCTAATAATATCCCCAAAAAGATCTTTACTGATACGTCATCGCCTGCAAATGAAGTTCAGACCCTTTCTCCCCACAGCTGGGTCTTGTTCTGGACCAGTTTCACCCTCCTTGTCCATCAGCTCTTCTCCTCACTCTCACTGAACAGTTTCCATCCCAGACTGCACATAAAATCCCAGGAAGCTTTCCCCACAGAGCGCTGCCCAAGCCTTCAGTGCAGACATTTGAATCTGATTACTAGAGGTGTGGCCCAGGGATAGTATGCTTTATTTATCAGACTCCAGTTGACTTTAATTAGTTGCTAGGGTTGGGACCCAGGTTGAGCTAATACATTAGTTAGAAAAATCTCTTGTTCCGCCATTATGTATATGTTCAGACCATCCATCCCCTCCAAGTGCAATCCCTGCTGAATCTTGTACTCTCTATTTCCTAAAGTCCATTGAAGGTGCTACTGAGTGCTGGGAATTGAACCTAGGGCCTCATATATGCCAGGCAAGTGCTTTATCACTGAGCTACAGCCCAGCTCATGAAACTTTCCTCCTGTTTTCCTACCAAATACAGATGCCCTATTTGAACAGTTAGGGATGTCATTCTGACACCTGAAATCTTCTGCTTTCTAATAGTCATTTTGAAGTTTATTTTTTTCCTATAACATTATAAACAGTTTGGAACAAAACCCCTGAGATTGAAACATTCCATCTGTAGCGAAGCCCCTTCAAACAAAAACCTTAAAATAGTTTCAGGAAGTCCCTGAAATTGACCAGATTCTCTGCCCTCCCCACCCCCCCAACCAGAGTAAGCAATAAAATACCCAGAGTCCCTCTCAGACTTGCAGGGTAAAGCTGCCAAGAAGACCCAGAGACGCCAAGCTGCAGAGAAGATCTCAGACCAAGCCAGCTGCCTAGAAGGAGCAGAGACCAGCTGAGGCGCCTGGAAGAGGTATGGACCAACCGAGTCACTTGGAAGGGACACTGTCTAGCCTGTTGAAGGGCCTGCAGGCTGTGCAGTGTGCTCCAGGTTCCCAGCTGTGTGACCTGTCACCAGTGCTAGGGTGGGCTTCGGTGATGAAGCTGTCTTTTCAGTCATGTCTGCTCCTGGAAGTAACCCCAATAAAATTCAGGGTTCACCAAGTTGGACTTCAGTGGTACCTGTACTTTGGTATGTCATAGGCTCCCTATCTGGGGCGGCACACAATACATGGCTAATTACTCTTCTTCGAGACCCAGCACTCTATTGTGTAGGACAGCCTTTGGAGTTTAGCAAACAGGTTTTGGATATTACTCTGGCTGGTTCTTATCTTGCACAGTTGTTACTTCTGCCTGGCACCTTTCCCCGAGCTGTCCCATGGTTCAACGTCACCCTTACTAGACTGTCGGTTGTTGACTGCTCTGGTTAGCATGGTAACACTGTCTTTTGCCCACACTCCATTCTTCCTTTATCTTATTTATTTATTTCATTTTTGAGACAGGGCCTTACCTTGGCTGTCCTGAACTTGCTCTGTAGACCAGGCTGGCCTCTCAGAGACTCACAAGAGATCTGCCTGCCTCTGCCTTCTGAGTACTGGGATTAAAGGCGTGCCCCACCACACCCAGCCTCCCCTTTCCCTCTTTAAAGGTCTCCAAGCAGCTGTCGCCAGTGGAGTAGTCCGTTACTTGTTTATCGTCTGTCTTCTTTCATTGGAACGTAAGAAGCACCCGGAGAAGCTTCCTCTGTCTGCTGTGGTGTACCCAGTGCCCACTATGGGGTCTGGCACGTAGCAAGCGCTCCAGATGCTGGCGGAACTTAATGGAACTTGTGGACCTCGTATCAGTTACTTTTCTTATTGCTGTGACACAATACTGAGAGAAGCGATGTAAGGGAGGAAGAGTTATCCGGGCTTGTGGTTTCAGGGGTATCGGCTCACTGTGGTGGGGAAGATGAGGGACATCCCTGTGGCCCGGGAGTTGTGGCCCTGCTTGCTTATGTCATGATCAGTCAGGAAGCAGAGGCAGGAGAATAGAGGGCAAGAAGGCAAAGGAAGGAGCACCCAGCACCCAGCACATTATCAGCAAGGTCTGTAATGAGAAAGCAAACGGTGAACTAAGGTACCTGTCTTGGCCCTTTAGTGTACAGACCTTCCTAGTAAGCTGGTGGGCTGAGTTCAAGGGCAGAATCTGAGACCCAGTGAGCTGTGAAAAGATTCACTCAGCCCCATGTGACCCTGGAGCGTGGCTGACACTCTTTCCCCACCCTTGGCTCTTTGCTTCATCCTGTAGGCTTTGTGTAGATGCTCTACCCACCTGTCAAAGCCCCATCCCACCCCTGCAAACAGTTATCCCTGTCTACTCCCTGAAGCCAAACACACCAGCCATTGGCCCACTCCTGGGAGGACAGACCTCAGGAAGATGTCACACAGGCTCTGGAAGTGAGCTGGGCCGAAGGAATGGACTTCTGGGGTTCTGGGCACTCAGGCACAGGGGAGATGGATCCTGGTGGGTGTTCTCTTGGCTTTTCAGATTCCTGGGCCTGTGGGGGCCAGGTGCAGCTGGCAGAAACCCAGAGTGATACCTGCTTTGCTCCAGATCTAAGAGTAAAAGTGACCCTACCTCTCTTCTTCCCCAAACCAGGCTAGAAGTCTGCTGATGAGCCAGGCTGATTCTCCCCTCCTCGCTGTTGGTGCATCACTCGTGGCTGAGGGAGAACTCATCTCTCACTTATTCATACGCAAAATGAGAACTGGATGAAAGAGTGTCTAAAAATCCATTCTTCTATCTTTTTTTTTTTATATCCCCCTCCCAGGACTAAGCAAGTGCTAAGAAATATTCACTAGGTCTGTTCATTGAATAATTTTGTGTGAATGCTCTGGGGCTGCATCTCGATCCCTATTCTTAGACACAGATGTGCATAGATATGTGAATGGACACATACATGTCCATTCATTCCACTGGGTCGGCAGAGTCACATTATCTGCCAGCTGAGCCCTGGGAGACATTCCCCAGACACTAAGAGAGAATGCTCCAATTCCCTACAGAGGTTAGTTTTATGTTTTCAGAGCAGGGAGACCAAGGGACCCTAGGGATCTCCTTTTCCTCAGGGAGTTGATGCCCAGGAGTCCTTCCTGTTAGCCGAAGGTTGTGTTTTTTTGTTTATTTCTAGCAGATTCTCAGTTGACTCAGAATGGTGAGGGAGCTTCCTTTCTCCCACACCCTGAAGTCTAGAGCAATTGGGAACTCAATTGCTGGAGGGTTGAGGCCAAATATAAACGATGCATAGGTTCCCTTCAATAAATATATAATGGAATCTTCCCGGGGTGATGGGAGAGCCAGGGTGACAGCACAGTAGAACTTTTTGTTAATTTAGTGGGAGGAGGAGGCAAAGCCAAGTTCATCATTATATCTATATCTATATCTATATCTATATCTATCTATCTATCTATCTATCTATCTATCTATCTATCTATCTATCTCACAACAGGACTAAATAAATGCCAGGAGCTGCCCCAGGTGGGTGGCCTGTGGTCCGAGGCGTTGTGTATACAAAGAACTCGGAGAAAAGCTAGGCGCGAGGGGACCATACCTAAGGCTAATGTGATCAGGGTTCAGACATGCTCAGACAAGCAGAAGCTCTACTCCGGTATGCAGGCGATTACTTTGTGGGTGGGTGTGACAGGGAAGCAAGAGAACAATTTATGGGGGTTGCTTATGACGGGTGACATAACGGAGCAAAACATTAGGGTCATCCACAAAAGCTTTTAACCTATATTCTCATTTCCCCTGAAATTTAACAGGTATTGATCTGCCTTCTTCAGAAGAGGATTGATTCTCTGCCTCTGCCTAGATGGGTTGGCCCTGCAAGACTGGGCAGCTCCCAGCCTGGTATATCTGCCCACCTGAAGAGCATCCTGGATTCTTTGGCCAGCGTGGATGGCTCACATTTCTCACTGTATGTCATAGTTTCTTGGTCAACAAGATACTTCCCTCAAGTACAGCTTTCAGACCATGGCTGGTGCAACCTCTGAAATACAACTGTCCCAAATCGTGGTGTTCCAGGACCTTCTAGTCTTCCTCATCTTCAGAGTTAACACGTTGGGCTCTTAGTCCAGAGACAAATTTAACTCATTCACACCCCCCATTTCCTCTGGAAACTAACCCCCAACGCTGGGGGTTAGTTTTTTGTTTTTTTTTTTTCCATCATCCATCGATGTTACTTTCTTTGAAAAAGGCCTGGCTCTGTGCGAGTGTCTGGGGCTCAGCAGCTCCTTTCTGAAGATTACTAAGCTCAGGGCAGTAGGCCCAGGTGTCTCCAAAGACCCACCTTCGCAAGGTGGCAGAGCTCTAGAAGGGCAAAGGATGGGCAGAGCTGTGTGCGCCCCCTCCCCAGCCCTTTCCTGTACGCGGGCTCGGGGGAAGAGAGCCCGACTTCTTTCGGCTTTGTCCGCTCTGCAGCCCGGTGGCTGCCCCGGACCTTGGCCACCCCGCACACACACCTGCTGCCCGCCCCGCATGGGCGGCTCAGGAGGAGCGATCGCCAGCATCTCCGGGTTTCCGACTGTCCCTCCTGAGCCTCCTCGGTGCCGGGCGGGTGCGGGGCGGCGCCGTCCCGCGCGCCCTCCGAGGAGGCGGGTCCTGGGGGAGGGCGGGGCCCGGGACCCGCCGCGCCCTCCGCCGGGCGGCCCGCAGGCAGGCGCCGGGCCGGCCGGGAGGTGGTGCTCGCCTCCCCGCGCGAGGCCGTGCGTTGCCCGGCAGCGGCTGCGAGGCTCGGGAGGGGGCGGAGCGGCGCGGCCGGCGTGCAGCGGCCCCAGTCCGCGGATCCGGCCCGGCCCGCCCCCGCCTCGCCGGCCTCGCTGCGCGCCGGTGCGCGGCTCCCAGTCCCCGCCGCAGCGGCCGCCCGCGTCCCGGGCCCGAGTGCGCCCACGCCGCGAGGCCGGTGTGCCGGGGAGCCGACGCGTGGCCATGGAGTGGGAGCCCCGCGCCAAGGTTGCACTGGTGCCGGGGCGGAGCGGCCGCGGGCCTTCCTCCCGCCACCGCCGCCCGGGGCTGCTGCTCCCCGGCCTCTGGCTGCTGCTGCTCGCCCGGCCGGCCTCGTGCGCCCCAGGTAAGCTTCGCCGAGCCCCCCGGGACGCGGCCGCCACCCTGCCCGCCTTCGCTGCCGCGCTCGCCATCCTCTGACTCCCCCCCGCCCCCCCCACCCGCCCATCCTCTTTATTCTCCACCGCTCCCTCGCCCTCCTTGCTGGAGATGCTTTTCTATTCTTCCTGGGCCCAGCAAATAAAGGCATGGAGGAAATGAATAGATGCAAAGGAGAAGAGAGAGAGAGAGAGTGGTTCCTGACCGGTCTTGCTAAAAAGGTCTGCAACCTAGCCTTCCGTGAACCATGTTGCCCGAGGCGGGTCTGGTGGTTTCTGCTCTGAAGATGCCTATTTTCTTTTTTCCCCTTTGCAAAATGCAGGCGCTGGAATTGTGTTTGTGCACAGCTCTGTGAATGTGGCGTAGCGAATGTTTTGGGATACTTTTATTGTTGGGGCAAAGGGCTGCATCTGGTGTGTGCTGTAAAGCAGTTGTGCATTGCCGTGAACAGCCAGTGTTCCCCCAGATGCAGGCAAGCTGGCCGTGTCCCCCAGTGCGCCAGGACACAAAGAACATTCAAAGAAAAAAATCTCTTGGAAAGCGCCCTGGCCATGGATCTTTCCAGGGAACTAGCTATTGGTATTGCCTCTACAAAGGCATTACAATGGAGTGTGAAAATATTTTGAGTCTGAAGTGTCAGGGCATGAAAGGAGTCACGGTTGGTTTTTACAATAGATGCAATTTAGTGACTGTTCATCAGCATGGGATTAAGAGACATGATTTATGAGGCGTGTGGGTGGGTTTTGTTTGTTGAGGAAATGATTTAATTCATGTTGTTTCTCTGAAATGTTTATTTGTCCGCCCTGAGTGTGCATTGGAAGGATGGCCTGGAGACCATCTCCGAGGTGACACACAGGCAAGCCCGTGATTGCCCCAGCACACGAATGCTTGGCTACTTTGTGGGTAGGAAAGGGAAGGTGGAAAGCTTCTTCACACTGCACAGGAAAACCAGAAAAGCTATGAAAGCAGCTCAGAACCCTCCCTGCTTGTGGGAGCAGGGCCAGAGGACTGCCAAGTGGCTGGAAGGAAGTGGAACACATTTGAAGGTGTCCCTTAGGCCTGATTGGGGGCGTCAGAACCAGCCCCACGAAGAAGCGGATGGTGGGGTAGAAGCCGGGAAGGGACTTCAGGGAACATAGGATGAGACTGCTTCACTCACTGGGGAGGAAATTAAGGCAGAAACGGCTCGCTCAAGGTCACAGGCTAGATGAAGACAGGAATTGCGGTATTCACCCATTCCCTTTCACTGTTCTTGACCCACAGACAGGGTTCACAGCTGAAGTCTGCAGAGATTTCCTTTAGCTGAGGGAACCCTGCCTCAGGGAACCGCACCAGAGGCGGGGTTGACAGAGTGGGTCTCTTAGTACTCTGTGTACACTGGGTGAAGAAACTTTGCCTAAACTACCAGCCACCTCCTGTCTCCATCTCACTCCATGAGAGCTCCAGTCCAGAGTTCAGAGGAGTCAGTCCTTTAGAGTGCTGTCGTCTTTAGTCAACAGAGAAAGGTGGAGTCTGCTGGAGTTGTCCATCACGGGACCTACCTTGCTCATTATTTCCACTGACATGTGTGCCAGGTGCTGCAATTTATGTACGTGACCTAGTCACATTGGGGCTTAGGCTTTAGGACCCCTACTTTGCGGAGGAGGACCTTCGCAGGTGTCTAGGAGAGTCTGGCTTCAGGCTATGGTACACTTAGCTTCTGGGGCCCCAACGACTTCCCACATGCACACTGTCATCTGACTCTTCATCTGTCATCTGAGGTTGGAGAAGATAAAGTTATTTTGCTAAATTTAAAGTTGACGGTAGGTTGTTCGACACTGCTTCACCCTTCCTTAGAAGTCCTTTTCGGTTCCCTGACCACCCCAATCCAAATACCCAACCCAGAGACTCGAAGTTACATGTCCCTTTAGAGTTGACGTCGCAGAGGCAGAGATATCATCCTTTCACTGATTTGCTCACTGGGCCTCTCTAGTTGGCACAGCTGCTTCTGGGCAGGAGCACAGAGTGAGATCCAGTGTGCGTGCATAGCATCCAACTTCAGGGGCCTGGCCTCGGGGACCCAACTGCAGACATAAAGCTGTTTATGTCAGCAAGGGTAGACACAAGTGTGGATGTATGTACCCACTCTGAGTGAACTGCTAGGTGGAGGGTCTTCAGGGATGACCTCTTGATGGTGACCTGATTGCAGGCTCTGGGAAGCCAGCTTGGTGGAGGGTGGCTTGGTAAGGTGCCTAGGTGGCTTGTGGGATGCCTGGGCATGGCCAGTGGCTGTTGATCCTGGGACGCAGTGGTACCAGGATCTCATCTTAGTGATGTACCTTCAATAGCAGTGTGGGCAGAGAGACTTTGCTGAGGGCTGTCCTGAGGGTGCAGGGGGTCCTTAATCCTGTCTGCCTTCCCTCCTGTGTGGGGATGATAAGCTCTCCGCCTTCAGTAGCTTTCTCTTTGGTTCAGTGGAGTTGATTTCCCTTATTACAGTCTTCAGTGAGATCTCTGTGCTGTATTGCTCCATTGCCAATTTCTATTTCCTTTAGCGTTTTAAATGCATGATTTTTTTTGGTTTTTCGAGACAGGGTTTCTCTGTGTAGCTTTGCGCCTTTCCTGGATCTCGCGCTGTAGACCAGGCTGGCCTCGAACTCACAGAGATCCGCCTGGCTCTGCCTCCCGAGTGCTGGGATTAAAGGCGTGCGCCACAACTGCCCGGCGATTTTTTTTCTTTTTAAAGAAAACATTTATAGGTTAGGTTCGGACTTCACTGTTGTGGAAAACAATCTGAAATGCTTGGGGACTTATTTTGAATGTCGTGCTTTTAGGTAGCCAGCCAACACAATGGAAAAGGAGAGAATGGTACCCCATTCCTTATACAGAGACAAGTCTGTTTAAGAATTACAATCATCATGAAATTGACAGCGTGGCAGAACCTAGAAATTAGTGAAAGGAGCAGAAAACAGTCGCTAAGGACTTGGGTTGTGACTTAGTGGTGGCATTGGGTAGCATGCATGGTCCTGGGTTCAGTCCCCAGGACGAGAAAGGACAGAAGGGTGGCTCACCCACAATTCCACAGCCCACAGGTAGCACTGTAAATGGTTTAGGTTTTGTTTCTTTTTGAGATAGAGTTTTGCTATAAAACCCAGGCCTTACTGTGTGGACCAGGCTAGTTTTGAACTTGTGACAGCTCTGCTGCTTTGCCTCTTGTCCGCTGGGATTACAGGTGTGTGCTTTTTTGTTGTTACTAACTCTAAAGTGAGAAATTATATGCATAATTGTATTTATTGTTTCTACTCATGCACAATTGTCTTTTTTAATGTAGTTTTTTTTGTTTGTTTTGTTTTTTTTTGTTGTTGTTGCTGTTTTTCAAGACGGGTTTCTCTGTGTAGCTCTGACTGCCTTAGAACTCACTCTGTAGGCCAGGCTGGCCTCAAACTCACAGAGGTCCTCTTGCCTCTGCCTTGAGTTCTGGGATTAAAGGTGTGGACCATCACCAACCAGGCAAGCTGCGGTAAATGTCATGGTGAATATCTATACAGATAAGTCTTTGCTCCTCTCTCTGTTTTTCCATGTATATGGGTCTTTATTTTTATGTGTGTATTTGTAGAGTGGGAATGATAATGTGATTAAACTGTCATATGTGCCTGGCTGGCTTCCTGTGTGTTTTGCTTGGAGTGTAGCTTACTTTGAAGATGCTCAGGATGTAGTTGCTGAATGAATCAGTTTTCTGAACATTGTAATGCTAGAAACAAGCAAACAAACAAACAAACCAACCTAAAAGATTATATACTTGATGTCCATCATTATATTCATTGATTATTTATTTTGTTTTTATTTTTTATTTTTATTTTTTGAGACAGCATCTTTCTATGTAGTCCCGGCTGTCCTGGAACCCACTATGTGGACCAGGCAGGCTCGAACTCACAAAGATCCTTTTACCTCTGCCTAGCCAGTGTTGGGATTAAAGGTGTGCAGCACCATGCCTGGTTCCTTTGATTTTTTTTTTTTTTTTTTTTTTTTTGGTTTTTTTTTCGAGACAGGGTTTCTCTGTGTAGCTTTGCGCCTTTCCTGGAACTCACTTGGTAGTCCAGGCTGGCCTCGAACTCACAGAGATCCGCCTGGCTCTGCCTCCCGAGTGCTGGGATTAAAGGCGTGCGCCACCACCGCCCGGCTTGATTATTTTTAAACACTTTTGTTACCTAAATTTGTAATACGTTTTATTTTATTTTTTATTTATTTATTTATTTTTTTGGTTTTTCGAGACAGGGTTTCTCTGTGTAGCTTTGCACCTTTCCTGGAACTCGCTTTGGAGACCAGGCTGGCCTCGAACTCACAGAGATCCGCCTGCCTCTGCCTCCCGAGTGCTGGGATTAAAGGCGTGCGCCACCACCGCCCGGCGTAATACATTATTTTAATTGTCACCTTTTACATTTCTTTAGTGTTAGATTTTTATTTTGTATTTGTATTATTTGAATTTCTTCGTTGTTCTCACTATCATATTTTCCCCTTCCAATGTGTTTTCTTTTACATGTAATTAATCAACTAATTGATTTTTGAGGCAGGGTCTCATATAACTCTGCCTGGGTTCAAACTCACTGTGTAGCTGAGGATGACCTTGAACTCCTGATCCTCCTGCTTCCACCTTCCCAGTGCTGGAATTACAGGCGTCACGGTACCCCATCTTATACATGGTGGTGGTTAAACACGGTACCCCATCTTATACATGGTGGTGGTTAAACACGGTACTCCATCTTATACATGGTGGTGGTTAAACACGGTACCCCATCTTATACATGGTGGTGGTTAAACACGGTACTCCATCTTATACGTGGTGGTGGTTAAACACGGTACCCCATCTTATACGTGGTGGTGGTTAAACACGGTACCCCATCTTATACGTGGTGGTGGTTAAACACGGTACCCCATCTTATACGTGGTGGTGGTTAAACACGGTACCCCATCTTATACGTGGTGGTGGTT